AGTGGATGTGATAATCTGTGCTACCGGGTGAGTGTAACTCTGTGCATGTTGACACCCTGACCATGGGAGGGTGGAAGCAGAAAAGTCATACTAAACGAGACCCGTACTAATCGAGCTCTATACTTCCAGTTTCGATACCTCTTTCGTGCCCCGTTTCTCTGTCGTCGCTAACGGGGTCAACATCCAAGACATGTGGCGCAAAGAGCTCCTCTGCTACCTGTCGGTCGCAGCCCCATCCATCCCCAACTTCTGGGTGGCGGGAGGACCGTACGGGCCGCTCGGTCATGGATCAATCCTCCCACTCATTGAGACCTGGATGAAGTATTTCATCCAATGTATCAACAAGATCCAGGTTGACCGGATCAAGTCTCTGACGGCCAAGGAATCCATCAGCAGGGCATTCAAGGAGCATGCGGACCTCTTGTTGCAGAGAACGGCGTGGACCCAGGGCTGTAGTAGTTGGTTCAAGCAAGGCAAAACCGAGGGGCCGGTCTCAATCTTCCCCGGCAGCAGAATCACTTACATTGAGATCCTGGAGACGCCGAGATACGAGGACTATGACATTACCTACCTGAACCCGTCGAACCCCATGGAGATTCTCGGCAATGGCTTCAGCACAAGAGAATTCAACGGGAAGGACCTCAGCCACTACCTGGGGTTGATTGACGGCAAAGACGAGCAGTTGGACTTGGAAGCCGAGTTTTGGGCCGTCAAGAAGGGAACTGCGGCGTAGCCAGGGCCGTGGAGGGATCCAAGTGCGACGACTGTCTGCGTCTAGATAGACTGTGCTAATGCTTTTATGGAATAACATAGGAACTTTGTTGTCAGTAGCCTCCGCTTAAAGAGTTATACGGAATATCGGCATTGAGAATATATAGATGACGCAGTCTGTTCGACGATGGAAAGTCGTGTCGGCTCGCTCCAGAGCGCGTCGCCTCAGCCGAATCTAGTGTATAGAGAAGACATTACGTACAAGCAATGCCACCGCCTTAACCACAGTCAGTGTGGGCAGTCAAGCATCAGGCTTGGTCTTGCTTTGGGCCTTGACAGATGCCGGATGCCGATAATAGCAGACGCCTTCCTTGTCTATTGACTGATTCTGGGGCCGAGAGGTCTTGCTCCGTCTGGAGAAAGTGGATATCCTGGCCAACCCCATGGAGGTATACCAGAGCATGGGCACATGACATGGAGGACGGACCATGTTGGTACCTCGTCCACAGGTTTCGGTCCAACTTGTATTCTCCAGCCGATTCAAGACGTCACAGTAAGTGAGGCTTGGGCCATCTTGAATGAAGACTCCCGTGTCCGGAGCTGTCGGCACGGGTCTACAGTTCGTGCGATGGCTCTAGTGATCTATTTCCTAGTGAGCGTATATAAGTCCAGTTCAAGCCTTCACTATCAGCGAGCTCATTCTTTCCTTACCGGGAACCCCAGCATTATCGGCCGTGGACACTCTTGTTTGACTATACTACCATCTTTATTATCAATAGCGGTAGTTGCCCGACTCACCCCTCCCTCGTGCGTTGTATGCTTGAACAGCGATTGAAAACAAGACAAGAAAGATGTGGTCCTTGCCTAGTGTTGCAACCGCCACCAGCTTCCTCCTCCTCGCACTTCCTCCTGGACGAGCACAGGCGCATGAGAACATCACCGGCGTCCTCCTCCCCGGATCATGGGCGTACAAGCTCCCCATCCCCTTCGACGGACCATTACCCATCTGGGGCAACCTGTCCACCAACTTTGTCGGCATCACGACGTCCACCGACAACGGGACCATCAACGATCTGCTCGCTGAAGCGCAAAACTCGACCTACTACGCCTTTGACGAGGAGTTTTTCGACCTGTTCGGAGGCCAAAGAACCGCTCCGCTCGTCCGGCTGCCTGTGCGAGAGGCGGACTACGCATATGAAGCCGCCATCTGGCTCTATGACCGCAACGAGGTCTGGTTTACCTCTGCAGTAACCAGGTGAGTCGTGTAGGGTAGTGTTACCCTCACCTTTCCAACCCGTCCCGTCCCCTCTACGACACGAAACTAAAGTGTAACGTGCATATCCATTCAGTCCTCCCTCGTACGTCTCCAAGCTCGATCTGGCCACGAACAAGATCACGAGGCTCGACATTCCCCCGGTGGCGCATGTAGGCGTGAACGGCGGCTACTATTACAATGGCCTCGTTTACTTCACCGCCACGGGGAACGAGTCCCTCCCCAACGCGCCCGCCGCCATCTGGTCGGTCGACCCGAAGACGCTGCACGCCGAGGCAGTGGTGGACAGCTACTACGGCCTGCGGCTGAACTCGGTGGACGACCTGACGTGGGTGAAGGCGAACGCGTCGCAAGGATCCAGGTCGTGCACCACGGCGGGTGAATCGAACCTGTTCTTCACGGCGTACGACCTCGCCGCGCAGGGCGCCACGGGCTACGCTCCGAGCGCGTACATGGCCAACGCGGTGTTCCGCTTCACGCCGGAGACGCAGACGCTACGACCGGTGATCTCGCGCGCCGACGTGCTCATGCCCAACGGGATCGCCTCGGACGCGACGGGCCAGCACCTCTTCATCACGGACACGGCGTCGCCCTTCTTCGTCGGCGGCGGCTCCAACAGCTCCGGCTCCAGCGCCATCGTGCGCTTCGACCTGGACGCCGACTGCAACCCGGTGAACAAGCTGCAGTGGGCCGTGCCGCGGACGTTCGCCGACGGGATCCACGTCGACGACCACGGCCGCGTCTGGACGGGCGAGTGGGACGGCATCGTGGTCAGGAACGCCCGGGGCAAAGTGATTGGCGTCTTTGGCGCCAACGCCTTACAAGACGGGACGCGGCCACCGATTGCCAACTTTGCCCTCGCGGGGGATAAACTGGTCATTCTCGCGGTGGACAGGGCCTACGTCGTCACCCTGGGACAGACTGTCGTCACGCCCGGTCGCTATTCGAGCTGAAAAAGGAGAGCCTGGGAATCTTAAGGTGGGTAGGATCGGGACACACGATGTGATGGGCACCAAGTCAAGTACCCAGGCCGAGAAGTAGCAGCAGCAGCAAGACAGAATACATAGATTTCTTGCCGATCTCCATGCCAGATTCTGAACTTGAACTGACCCAAATCTCCGTGTATTGTAGAAACGTGTGTATGTTTCCAATCTTCTCAGACCATGAAAGCCCCATTCATCCAAGATCGATTGCGATACAAATATCGAGCACGGCACAGCAGGCCTCCGGTGTGGCCAAATTCATCATGAAAGGGCATACATATATTTCTCAGTCATGGGCTTTAACTTACTACCTGATTTACATCAATGTCCTTCAGTCTTCTTGTCTTTGCTGGCGCTTTCTGAAAACCGAATTCTCTCTCTCTCTCTCTCTCTTTTCACCCTTTCACCACCATCCCCTCGCCCATGGTCTGGAGCTGCTGACGACCATGGACCGCGGCCTCTGCGAAGTCGCGCAGAAAATACCATCGGATCCGCTCCTTGAGACCCCTGGCCTTCCAGTCATCCAGGGTCCCGGCGGGGAACAGCGGCACGTCCAGCGACCCGTCTGTCAAGGCGGGATCGTGCGCGACCAGCACGAGCACGCGGGCGTCGGCATCGAGCTCCTCGAGCCCGTGGATGGTGTCGACGGCGGCGTGGTGGTCGTGCGAGAACTTGGGCGCGAGTTTGTAGAATTCCGTCGTGGCGCTCTTGTCGCGGTGGATGGCTTGGAAGAGGGAGGCGGGGCAGATGGACATGGACGAAATGGGGGACGGGTGGATGGTCTCTGGGAGTGGAAGGAGCTCGGTCGGTCGGAACTCGCCGTTGTGGTGGCACGCGTCACCGCCTAGCAGGATGAATGTGTCGTTGTCGTCGTCGTCGGCGGCGGCGGCGGCGGTGCCAGGTCCAGAGGTCACGCGAGCCAGAGCGCACATGTGGCCGATGGCGTGGCCAGGGGTGTCGAGGAGGTAGAAGCTGCCATCTGCGAAGAAATCGAGGGCCCGGAAACGGCCGATTTTGATGTCGGACGACGAGAAGTCCATCTCGACCAGGTTCCTCCCTTCCCAGTCCGCCTCGAGGAGCATGCTGTTCTCATTGACCGGCCAACCAGGGGTCAACGCTTCCCTGAAGCCGGGACCGACGATCAGGTCCGTGCTCGAGGGGAACGTCTTCATGTTGCCCACGTGGTCGTAGTGCCAGTGACTCCAGATGACGGCGTCGATGCGCGACGGCGGGATCCCATTGTCGCCCAAGATGTCCGCCACGTCCTTGTCCACCTCGACCGTCCACGATGGCTGCGTGATCAGTCGCACGGTGGCGGGGGAGAAATTCGACAAGTCCTTGCGGGTGCCCAGGTCGAACAGGACGTGCTTCCCCGTTGCGGCGTGTTTGATGAGAAAGGAAATGGCGGGACAAGAGATCCTGTCGTGTCCGGAGATCGGGGGCCCAATCAAGACGGACACAGGCACGGCAAGGCGACTGGTGCTATCGATGGCCGTGACTGACACCGTCGACGGAGATTTGGGCAACTTGATGCCCCTGGAGAGTTTGAGGGGCTGGGTGGTATGTTCTGCGCCCATGATGGGTCGATAGTTCTCTCACACGCACAAGAATACCTCGTACCTAGATATATGAAGTGATCCTTGGGGTAAGATGCCTTTGTCACAGCAAGGATGGTGGTGGTAGTTGTAGTCACAAGCTCTCATCCCCAGTCACAGCATGCTTAAGGGTTCCCCGAGCCGGAAAATCGATGCCGGGAGAAATGGGCAACGGATGCGATGCGTGCGGCTCGGCTGGTCCCTTTCAAAACGCGAGCCGAAACTCTCCAGCACCCGTTCCAACGTCAACAGCAGACGGGAAGCTTGAGACACCCAAATAACGCCGCAGAGATGAGAGAAGATGGAGAGTAGGGGTTCATTCCAGCATAACGTCCTTCTATGCAGGAGCAATATGCGCTGTTTCCCATGTCTATATACCTTTTAGTGTACGTCTGCAACCAGTGTGAAGGCCTTCCTTTTCTCCTAGGGAGATTATCTCTATAGTTTCGGAGTCATGCTCGATCCATCACCGCTGTTCAACTTGCGTCTTTCTATTTTTCCCGTGTTGTTGCGGGGAATGGCGTTGATGAATTCGACTCCTGCCGTCAGCCACTTGACCTTTGAGAGGCGCGCTTTTATGAAATCTTGAAGCTCTTCGGCTGTGACGTCGCGTGCCTGCTGTTTCTTGACCACATAGCCTTTGGGATACTCTCCATTGTTCCTGTGGTAGAGTTTAGCAGCGTGGATTGCTGGGGACGGCAGAATGCTTACATCTTGAAGCCGACAACGGCAGCATCAGCGACGCTGGGGTGTAGTAGTAGCATCTGTTCAATCTCAGCAGGGGCGACCTGGAATCCTTTGACCTTGATCAATTCCTATAGCAACGAGGTTAGCCTAGAATAGATCTTGCATGTCGCCGGGGCCATCTCACCTTCAGGCGATCAATGATATAGAATCGACCCTGGTCATTGACGTATCCAATGTCGCCTGTCCGTAACCACCGTTTTCCATCCTCATTGACTATAGTGGCCGCCGTCTCTCGTGGCTTCTTATAGTAACCCTTCATGATATTGGGACCTGCCAACCAAATCTCCCCGACGGGATAACGCTTTGTCACTTCTGACGGTCCAAAGTCTCGACCGGGGATCGGGACGATTTTGGCACTCATATTCGAACTGAGCCAGCCAATCGACGCACCGTCATCCTCGTCATCCTGAGCAAATCCCGTTGCGGTGCAGGTACTTTCTGTCATGCCCCATCCCTGCTTGACGACAATGCCAGGCCGAAGGTAGCGCTTGGCCACCAGCTGACCAATTTCAGCACTCAAAGGGGCCGATCCACTGATGACAGACTCGACGGCCTTGAGGTTGAACTTTTCCGGGTGCGGGTACTTTGTGAGGGAAGCAAACACGGTCGGGGTGCCGGTCAGGAAGTTGATCCGGTAGATGTCCAGGTACGTCAGCCACCGCTCCAAGTCGTATTTGCCCATGACAAAGACCTTGGCTCCACAGCGAGCTGCGTTCAGGCAGTAGTAGTTTTGGCCCTAGGACAGAGTGTTAGACACATTTTTGGACCTACATCTGTACGCAAAGAAGGGAAGGAATCACCCACGTAGGCGTGAAACATTGGGAATGGAGCCAGCCACCTTTCGCCAGCCGAGTCTAGGCGGCTCTTGCGAGCAAGCCCTGCAGGAGTATCTGCGACGAGCTGACGCTTGAAGAGATTCTGGGCCGAGTTGCTGATCAGATTGTAGTGGGAGAGCTCAACCCCCTTGGGGAGACCTGTCGTTCTTGAAAGCGCACATGGTCAGTTCTAAGTCGCGACTCGGGGGAGTTCAAGATACGTGGATCAAAGACCTAAGAACACCGACATACCCGCTGGAATAGTTGACCACCGCCGTTTTCGCCATCGCCTTTTCCTTGGTGTCCAATTTTGGCCAATCCCATCCGGATATTCGGGACTCTGAAGCCCAAAAGTCTGTCCACGGCGTCACTCCTGACCCTGCGGAATCGGGAATATCAGGTTCTGTGAATTCATAGACTCGGAGGCCCGGTCTTCCGACTTTACGCACGGCTTCTTGGACTTTGGCCATGGATGCAGCGTTCGCGAGCACAAGCTCTGCGTCGCAGTCGTTGAGCTGATATGCAATTTCTGTTGAACGAATACATTAGTTGTCAGCGTCGGGCAGCCTTCCCCGTTCAGATGTAGATATTTCTTCCACCAGGATCAGACTGGAAATAAGCGGAAAGGAAAGGGCGTCAAGCGGGACTTGCCAGAGACTGAGGCATTGGGTGAGCATCCGCTAAAGACACAGCCGGAAGCCATCACGGCCCAGAGAAGCACCGGGAAGTACAACGAGTTGGCACTGCACAGAAACACCTTGTCGTCCGCCTGCAGCCCCAGGTCCTGCAACCCCTTGGCGATCCTCCTCACCCAAACCTCCGCTTGCTGCAAGCTATAATTCCGCTCAGGCTTCTCTGCGTCGAAATACTGTGGCTGACGGCGACTCTCGGGCGTGCCTGCCGTGAAGATGAAGCTGGCGACATCTTGTACCGGAATCTCCAGTGAGTACGGGCATTCGTATGTTCTAGCCATGGCTGTGGCACTTGACAGTTACAATAGAATAATGGAGAACGTTGGAGGGTCTGAACCTTTCCTGTTGCTTCGCGTCAAGTTTCACGCAAATCAAGAAATTGCCAGCGATTTAATGCCCTGGTGGCTTAGTTCCCCTGAGAGTCCGAGACGGATTTTTTCTTTCCTTAGTGTACTCGGTAGACTGCCTCCCTTAGGGGGCCAGGCATTCTTCGCTGGGTGACCACGACGAGGCTGAAAACTCGGCTGGAAAGTGATCGGGGCGCCCCACCAACTGGGAAACCGGAGATCGGGGTTGGTTGGATATGTTGATGTGGGTCCAGCCATCGGCGCCGAGCCTCATACTTGGGTTTTGCCGATCCCGAATCATGGTCTGCCGCCTCGCCGATTGGTCAGTTGGTATACAGAGCCTGCACAGGTCCACAGGACATACCAACAAGGCAGGGGTCACATGTCGGAGAGAAAGACTACAACAAGACCTTGTTCCGTTCAAAAGCAGCCTTTGCAAGACACTTGAAACCTAGACAGAAGACATAGCTGTGTGAGCAGCCTCTCAACACCCCTCCACCTCCCCCAGATAGTGTTCTATCGTGCCAGCCAACCCGACATGGCCACCTCCGCAGCCAGCCCAGCCTACGTCTTGGGCGTGGGCATGACACAGTTCATCAAGCCCAGAGGCAAAGTGACCTATTACGAGATGGGTTTCGAAGCCGGCGTCAAAGCCATGCTCGACGCGCACATCAACTACGACGACGTCGAGATGGGCCTCGCGTGCTACTGCTACGGCGATTCGACGAGCGGCCAACGAGTCTTTTACCAGTTCGGCATGACGGCCATCCCGGTCCTCAACATCAACAACAACTGCGCCACCGGGTCGAGCGGCCTGTTCATGGCGCGCAAGCTCATCCAGGGCGGCACCGTCGACTGTGTCCTCGTGGTCGGCTTCGAGCAGATGCGGCCGGGAATGCTCAGGTCCAACTGGCCAGACCGTCCATCGCCCACGGGGCTGATCAGGAAGATGGGCGACGAGATCGCACCCGAGAAGTCCAACAGTCCTCCCAACGCGCAGATCTTTGGGAATGCAGCCAGAGAGTACATGGCCAAGTATGTGCCGGTGTTTCCCCTTTACTCTTAATCAAGTAGCCCAACCACAAAAAAAACCTTTCTCCTTTCTACGAAAAAAAAAATATCCAAAAGGGGTAAAACCAAGGACTAACGCGTGAATGCTCTCGAAAACCAGGTACGGCGCTGAGGCAGACGACTTTGCCGAGATCGCGCGCGTCAACCACGACCACTCTGGGCGAAACCCGTATTCGCAGTTCCGCGAAAAGTATTCCCTCGAGGGCATTCGCAAGTCGGACATGATCTACGCGCCCCTGACGAAGCTGCAGTGCTGCCCGACCAGCGACGGGGCCGCCGCCGCCGTCATCGTGTCGCAGCGGTTCCTCGACGCGCGCCCGCACCTGCGCGACAAGGCCGTCCTGATCGCCGGGCAACACTGCGTCACCGACTCGCCGAAACTGTTCTCCCGGAGCGCCATCGAGCTGGTCGGGTTCGACATGTCCAAGCAGGCGGCACGAGTGGCCCTGGCGGAGGCGAGGGCGTCTCCGCGCGACGTCAAGATCTGCGAACTGCACGACTGCTTCTCCGCCAACGAGCTGTTGACCCTCGACGCGCTCGGCCTGTGCGAGCCCGGCAAGGCCCACGAGATGGTCCGCAACGGCGACATCACCTACGGGGGCCGCGTCGTGGTCAACCCTTCAGGCGGGCTGATTTCCAAAGGCCACCCTCTGGGCGCCACGGGCCTCGCCCAGTGTGCCGAACTCGTCTGGCATCTCCGTGGATGGGCGACGAACCGACTTGTGTCTGACCTCGACGTCGCCCTCCAGCACAACCTGGGCCTCGGGGGCGCCGTCGTCGTCACCGTCTACAGGCGCGCGGACGGCCAGAGGAGCTCGATCGCCTCGGACCGCACTGCCGCCCAGAGTTCCGGCTTGGGTTACAATCCGGCTGTCGAGGCGCGCAAGATCCAGGCTTCCGACGCCGACAAAGTCCGGAGCAGAAGGTGCCGTGTTGACTGGGCTCTGGGAGACACGCAGCAGCGCATCGATGCTCGACTTTGAATCGGAACTTGTGGGTTTGTGTGGCAGGTATAGATATATATAGACAGATATAGAACGGAAACAACTGTTTGCTATATTACTGTATCGATCTAATTCCCACAGTCGCCTCGTGTTGTCTGAACATGTTCCCTGCAAGGTTGTGCTCGCGATCTCGTTCGCCTTGGGACGCCGTCAATCCATCTAACTTGTCGTGACAAGGGTCTATCATAGATATAAGGCCATTGCCGGATTCTAACGGTCGGTGTGGTCGAAAAAGGAGTTGCGAGATTCGTCGATCACTGGACAATCTTAAACTCTCCTTTTTTCCTATTTTCCGCCAGTCACCATCAGCGTCTCGCCGGTGATATAGTCAAACAAGGGACTGGCCGCAGCCATGATTGCAGCTGCTGCTTCGGGCACCTTGCCCGGCCGACCCAAGGGAACGTCATTCTTTGCGTCCCGCTCGCTCCTAATCGCCTGCGGCACGCCGATGGAAACCCTTTTCCCATCGGGCGTTACCGCAAAGTTGCCGGCCTCTTTGGAACCCGAGAGGCGAGTCCCCTTGATGTATCCGAATGCGACTCTGTTAATGGTGCACGGAGTGTTAGTGACAGTTGTGCAACTCCGAAAGAGAGAAGAAGAGAGGGGGAGGAAACGTGATTCCTTACGTGATACTACGGACGCCGTACTTGGGTCCCCATTCTTTCGCAATGGTTTTGGTCAGGCCAGTGACTCCAGCCTTGGCCAGGGAGTAGTTGGCCTGGCCGCTGCAGGGCATCAGTGCTGGTTGCTCGAAACAAAAAGGCTTTGTTTCCACTCACGCATTCCCATGGATGCCGCTGACGCTGCTGATATTGATGATGCATCTTCGCTCCCCGTCGGTGACTCTGAAATACGGTGCAGCCGCTCGTACAAGCATAAAGGGCGCTGTGCAATGCAGATCGATAATGGTCTTCCAAGCCTCATCGGTCATCTACCATTTCAGCGTGTCAGCAGCACCTGGCATTTTTCGGGTCGGGAAGGGTTGTGACCTTATGAATAACTGAATCCCAGGTGAACCCGGCGTTATTGACGATGATGTGAATTTTGCCATTGCCAAACTTTGCAGCTTCTTGGACGAGCTTCGGTATATATGCAAAGTCGAGCATGTCCCCTGGCACAGCAATTGCCTCACCTCCACTCTCTCTGATGCCCTGAGCTACATCTTCTGCCCTCTCTAGACTTGCGAAAAACCTCTGTTTAGCTTGTTTTGGGGGGTGAGGTATTGAACGAATGACGTACTTGTATCGATATCCTGCACTACCACTTTGGCGCCTTCGTTGGCAAATAACCGAGCAGTCTCAGCACCGATACCTTGTCCGGACCCCGTGATTATGGCCACTTGCCCTATCAGGAGACCTTTGGGAAAGGTTATTTGTCGAGTTATCTGTTTCACACGATCTGCAGGAGACATTGTGTCCTGATGGCCTGCTTGTCTGGAGGATCGACGGGTGTCGTTTGAGGTATTAGCCAAGGTGGCCGGGAGTCTTCTGAACCGCATATTTCTATGGTTCACATGGGACCGAGATCATGAATTCAGGCAGACCAACCTGCGCCGAGATCAGGGGCGAGCTCGGTTCGGCGTGAAGATTAGGGCAAACTCCGGCTCCACCTAGCCGGCACAGGAATGACAAGCCAGGCTGCGCTTCAACGGGCACGAAGATGTGAGTGTTTGCCAAGGGAGATACCTGCGGGAGGAGAGCGGTTGAGTTCCTGAAATCTCGTGGATCGGAGCGTTTGAGGTTCACCAACTTCCGCAGCGCCGAGGGCGGGATATTCTCCCGATAGCGGCAATGGCTTCGCACAGCCTCTATATATAGCGAGGTTCTTTGATGGGGCTGTAGAACAGGAAAGGAGCAGCCTTAGTTGCTGTGTAACTGTCCGCGAGAATGATCAGTTCTCATAGCTCACCACCTACTTCTTTCAGCCACTTTTCTGTCGCTGCAGGCCGATCCAGGTACAGACGGGGCACTGATTAACGTCGAATTTTTCATTGTAGAACTGGTCCGCGGCGACGATGAGCACTCCATATTGCAGCTGAATCGCTCAACCAAGCCCTAGGTGTGCATATTCATTGGAGGGTCATCGTCGCACAGGGGTAGCGAACTGAAAGTGTGAACTGGCGAGACTCAATTTGGAGTTCCCTGCGCTGCCTGCGGATGTCGATTCCGGATCATCTTCCCGCCGATTGCCCGGCGCTATTCCCGTTTCTCTCACTTCGTTCATATCAACTCTGTTCTCGACTTGTATGCCATATACCATCCAACACTCTCCAATCAGGTCATCTATTACGAGTGCATTTGTGATTGTCATAAGTCAAGCCTTGCTGGGACGTTGAACAATTATTTGAGATCTAATCACCCGTCCTGGAGTACATTGCCTCCGCGCAAATTCTGATAAGCTTCTTGTGACCTTCACCCTCCCCGATTGGCGCAGGGACGTGAACTGTCACTGAGCGAAGTCCCAGTTCAAATGGTCTGGTGAGGTGAACACGAGGGAATGCCACAGTGGATAGGCTTGTAGCCTGCTATCTGCAGATTGTCGTGAGTCGAGCTTGACCCAACCAAACACCAGTGCTAACAGCGCCAACAAGGGTAAAAGGCACCGATTTCCGCTCTGGAAGAGCAGCCACCATGACAATCTCTATAGCGCGTGCTGCAGCCAAGCTGCTTCACCGTGAAGCTGTCAGGGAAAGGGCATTCTCCACCACCAGAATGCTTAATGTGGACTTCACTCATGCCGTACGTCCCAAGCCACCACTTTGGCTTTTACAGGAGAAGCTGATCTGTATGTCCACGACCGCAGGTCATCGGAGCAGGAGCGGTTGGGCTCGCGGTTGCGCGCCAGCTGGCCTCGAGGACAGGCACCTCGACGATCCTGATCGAGCGACACGGCGCTGTGGGTACCGAGACGAGCAGTCGCAACTCCGAAGTCATCCACGCGGGGCTGTACTACGGGCCAAACTCGCTCAAAACCAGGCTCTGCATCCGCGGCCGACAGATGCTGTACGAGCTGTGCGAAGCACAGAGAATCCCGTACCGGCGCACCAAGAAGTGGATCATCGCGCAGGACGGGGTGCAGTTCGCCGAGCTCGAGGCCCTCCACGACTTCAGCCGCTCCATCGACGTGCCCACCCATTTCCTCTCGCGCGCCGACATCGAGAGCCGCGAGCCCGATGTGCGCGCCGAGGCGGGAGTGCTCGAATCCCCCACGACGGGCATCGTCGACTCGCACGCCTTGATGGCCTATCTGGAAGGGTCCTTTGACGAGCGCGGCGGAGAGGAAGTGCTGCACACGGTCGTGGAGAAGATCGAGCCGTTGCGCAGCTCGTCGATCGGTGGCGATGGCGGCGATTCTAGCGCCGGTTACGCCATCACGACGCGATCGCGCGACGGCACAGGCGGCGAGGACACCATCACGGTCGAGACGCTGGTCAACTGCGCGGGGCTGGCCGCCGTGGACGTCTCCAACATGCTGCTGCCGCCCGAGCGGCACCGCAAGGCCTACTACGCCAAGGGCAGCTACTTCTCGTACTCGGCGTCGCGCCCGAAACCCAGCACGCTGCTCTACCCAGCTCCCATCCCCGGCCTGGGCGGCTTAGGCACACACTTGACGTTGGACATGGCGGGACGGATCCGCTTCGGCCCGGACGTCGAATGGGTCGACTCGCCGCACGACCTCTCCCCCAACCCGGTGCGCCTGGCCGCCGCCGTCGACGTCATCAAGACGTACCTCCCGTCCATCGACCCCTCCGCCATCGACCTCGACTACTGCGGCATCCGGCCCAAGCTGGGCCCCGGCACGAGCGGCACCTACGGCAAGGACGGCAAGGGCTTCGTCGACTTCTACATCGCCGAGGAGGACGGGTTCCCCGGCTTTGTCAATCTGCTGGGCATCGAGTCTCCGGGCCTGACCAGCGCCTTGGCCATTGCCGAGCACGTCGAGGAGATTCTGTACGGCGAGGGAGCGAGCGTTTGATCTTTTCAGTCTTTTTGGGGTGAAGTGTCGTATCCAGGGAGCGAGCGAGCAAGCAAGCAAGCAAGCAAGCCTTCGTGTCATCTGGATAGATTTTGGGCGATATCTACGTTTTTCTAGCTCCTTTTTTCGTTGGACATGAAAGGGAAACATAGTCATATGCGCAAATCTGACAGGGGGCATCTGGCATCTAGTAGCTGACATCTGACATCGTCCGAGTCTAGTACTATGTACCTAAAGCATTACCTCATTGTGCTTGACCAAGAAAGCAAGAAAGAGAGATGAGAGAGAGACAATGCTCTCCCGATCTTACAGGCGGGCCAAGCCGGCGCTAATTTGCCTCCTGCTCCTCCTTGTACTTGTTCATGCCGTGCTTGATGAACGGCGCCTCCATCAGCCTATCCCAATTATGTACGGTCTCAGCCTGGAGGATCGAGATCTTCATCTCCAGCAGAGCGCGCTCCTTCATCTCCTTCTCGTAGTCGGCCATGGCCTCGCCCAAGGTCTTGTTGCCGGCACGCCACTCCCTGATCTCGTCGATCAGCTTGGCCGCATCCTGCAGCGCGTTGTTCAGCCCCTGGCCGCGGAACGGCGGGATCGCGTGCGCGGCGTCGCCCGCGATAGTAACCCGCGGCCACAGCGGCGACTGCGACCAGTCCATGTCGGGCTTCCACACGACGGTCCGGTCCGTGGGGAAGACCAGGTCGTCCGGAAGTTCCTTGCCAATTGTGGCGAACGGCTCAGCGTACTTGGGAATCTGGTCGCGCCAGAACTTGAGGCGGGATGCCTGGTCCGGAAGGTCCTCTGGCCTCGGGGCACCGGGCCAGGAGAGCAGGTTCTGAAACAGCCACGTGTCGGGCTTGTCGGGATCCGTAACATCCTGGATCGAGTTCCACCACGTGAAGCCTCCGGGGTGGTAACTGTGCTTGAAGATCGGGTGGATCGATCGCAGGTATTCTGCCGTTTCTTTGGAGAAGGAACAGCTGACGTTGAACATCTGGATGTCCATGTACTCCTCCTTGGCCAGCTCTTCACCCACCAGGAACTTGCGCACCGTCGAATGGGATCCATCGCACCCCACCAGGAGAGACCCAGATGTACTTGACCCGTCTTCGAAGACGGCTGTCACGGTGTCCCCCGAAACAGAAACAGACGCCAACCTCTTACCGTACTGGATTGTCAAAAGTCAGCACCCTCCAAAATAGTAGAGGCTCCAAGAGCGCTTACCTGTACGTCGATCCCCTGACTCAAGAACTTCCTCAGCTTCTTTCGTGATACTCGCCTGGGGTCCATGCCCTGCATTTCAAAGAGCTTCTCGCCCGTGGCGCCATTGTAGATGGGGAGCGATGAGATTTTGCCCTTGAAGAACGGGTCACAGCAGATGTTCTCGTCGAGTTGGGCGACCATATCCGGCGGAATGCACTTGGACAGATACTCTGCTCCCCAGTGCAAGGTCATACCCCACTCGCGTGCGCGGTTCTGGTAGGTGGTATGGTCCTCTCGCTCATATACGGTGCATGCAATGCCATTCTATGACCAATTGTTGGTCTCTCTGGGCCGCGAACATCCCCACGGGATGGGAAAAGAAAGCAGGGGGGGTGGGTGAATCGCAGTGGTCCAATACCTGTTTCAGGGCTTGTGCTAGCAGCAACCCAGTAGATCCTGGACAAAGTATGAGCCAGCCAGCCAGCATGCGGTCAGAGTCAGAAACCTTCTCAAACGTACCTGCGCCTATCACAATCACCTTCAGGGGCGTTGTCGAAGTCATGATGGGATGTGTATCTGAGTGTTGGAGAAAGGGTTGTGGTTGGGTTTCTTCGCAGCCAGGGTATTAAAGATCTGACAGGCCGTCTCGTCTCGTCTCGGCTCGCCCTTGCCGGTGACATATCATAGAGGTACAAGAGGAGTAGTCTGGTCGTCCGTACTCGTACTTTGAGAGGGGGGTGGTTTGTGAAGGATTTGACGTGGCTGATGTGGCTCAAAGCTTGTCATCTCGCTTGCTGCGTGGGCGTGCAGAATCCAGATGCCGCATTCGTTCTCGTGCATGACATCGAGGGATCAAGTGTGGGACGAGAAGATGACCCTTTTAAACGTGGATGGCTCCTATTCACTGCCATCAGCCACCCCAGGACCTCGTCTATCCACATCAAGCGGCCACCAAGGCGCCTCTTGCCGCCGGGTGGCAGTCACACCGCAGTCCCACGCGCAGCTAATGCGTCCCACCCAACTCCGCAGTCGTATTTTGTCGATATCGCAACGCCTATGACAGGCTGAAACTTGGTCAGATGCACCAGAAAGAGCAACATCCGACCCGTACCGGCTACATCTCGAAGCTCACGCCAAGGAAGCGAGGGTGGAACGTCCAGATGGGGGTGGCAGATGTTGATAACACTTGCAGGAATTTTTGACATGGCTCACCAGAGGACTTACCTCGCATCT